TCATCGCAGGTAGGAAGGTGAAGCCACAGGCCCCCTCCCAGAGTAAACTCCATTAGACAGAATTAGGGTGTACGCAGCACCGTGGGACACAGGGGGTCCGAGGGTGTTCTAAAGAGCCCTGGAGAACATTCTGAGCCCATAACTCGCTCCTATTACTGTAGCTAAAGGAAGCTGAGGCCACTGCCCGTATTGCCAGCCCTTTTCACTTTGCTCCGTGTCCTCTGGTCTTGGTGCCAGCCCTGAAAGTGAGGTCACCACCAGACCCAGGGGGAAGTTCACCACTTAGAGACTGGGTCCTTGGAAAGAATGGGAACTCTAAAAAGCACAGTTGTCTTAGGCTGGAATGTTTTCACAAAAGCTTCTCATGTCAATTTCAGCCCGCCAGCTTCCAAGCCTGTCACATAGCTCTGTGCACTGGAGGTCTGTTCTCACCATCCTTCCAAACTCGGGTGAATTCTCCAGACATGCGCTTCAAAACATCTCCGGTTTTTCCTAATTATTTCAGCAGAGGCTCATAGAATATTCTTTTAAAATATCTTTTTATCTTCAAATTATTTATTTCTTGAAATATTTATTTCCTTATGGGAACCTGAAAGTTTTACATGGTATAAAACAATGGCATGGCTCTGAAATTTACTTTTTACAACCTTGGAGGTATCGGCCCTTCAGGAGATAATCCCTTCAAATTCAAAGCTCTTTGATTAAATTACTGTTCTTCTTAAAGAAGCTGAATGTGATTTACAATAACCGGTGGTTTCTTCTGGAACCAGCATTTATTCCATTAACAGATCCACCTCATTTTTCTGTCCTTTTCAAACCAGAGATTTTCAGCTAGTTACTAAGTACTGGAAAACATTAAAATGTAATAAGAGCAGCTAATGATAAAATCTCAGAGGTATGACTAGGAAAAGAACTTGCTATGTTAGTTAGAATAGCTACCTCTCTCTTAAAGTAGGTCTCAAGTACACAACATCAGGAGGAAGGCTGCGGAAGAATTCTTAGAAATGACGCCAAAAGTACGATCCATAAAAGAAAAATATTTGAGTGCATCAAAATTAATGAATTTAGTTAATGAAATTTCAGAAAATGAAGAGATAAGCCAAAGACTCTGAAAACATATTTGCAAGTCATATATCTGAGAAAGGGCTTGTATCTGGAATATATATATATACATATATATATATATGAATCTTACAATTCAATCTAAAAAGAGAAATAGCACAACTAAAATATGGACAAATGATCTGAACAGACATTACTCCAAAGAAAATATACAAATGGCCCACAAGCATATGAAAAGATGTTCGATGTCATTAGTCATCAAGAAAAAGCAAATAAAATCCACAATGAGATAACACTTCATACCCACTAGGATGTGAATTTAAAAAGTAGATAATAACAAGTGCTGGTAAGGATATTAGTAACTGGAACAGTCATACATTTCAGTTCCTTGAAAGGTGAAACACAGACTTACCATGTGACCCAACATTTCCCCTCCTAGGTCGATATCACAGGTACATTTAAAAAAAGAAAGAAAACCTCTCTTTCCAGGGGAGGGTTTTACTCACTGAGATTCCACTTCAGGCCCGTTGTCGTCACCCGGTTGCAAGGCTGTCCAACAGGAATAAGGCCGCACCAATCCCCTTCCATTCCCGTGTCCACCTGCAACTTGTGCTTTCCCTGAAATAGAGGAGGAATGGTCATTAGGATAGGCAAAGGAAGAAGGGACGATAATGGGCATTGAAGACCTAGCCAGACACACCAGCTACCATCCCAGGAACTTCACGTGCTTTATCATATTGACAACCAATTTCTGTAGTACGTGCTGACTAATGCCAGGAACTTCCACTGGACTTAATCCCAGCGGCAATTTTACAAGGTAGTTTATTGTTCATTTTTACTTTTACATATGAGGAAATTGAAGCTTGCAGAGATGAAGTGTGTCTAGGACCACACAGATTACAAGGTGCAGGATCAGCATTGCTATGTACCTGGACCTGCCAATTCCCCAAAACTGGACTGATTGCACATGCTAAAGATGCAGAATTCTAGGGTCTGAACCAAACACTGGCGCAAGTGTAAAATAGAACACTGGCTCCTAAGTAAAATCTGTGCTTTATTTGAGAACTGGGCTTCTACATTTCAGCAGGCAATGTCAATCCTACTAGCAGTCAGCCTGCTTCCTATGTCCACGGCCTCTGAGATGCTCAGGGAAGTGCCTCTATCAGGAAACTGTTGGCCCTAAGGAACTAGTATGTTTCTCACATTCTGATTATGAGAACTTAGTAATTTACCATGTTTTCAATTTTTCCATTCATCAGAAGATTCAAGTTCAATGTAATGCTCAATCGAGGCCATGATACTTGTTTTTAGAAGGCTTGGAAACTCCTCTTCCATAAAGTACCGTATTTGCCGGCGTATAAGACGACTGGGCGTATAAGACGACCCCCTAACATTTCCACTCAAAATACAGAGTTTGTTATATACTCGCCATATAANTGTTAGACCTTTTCTGACATATAAATATGGAAGTGACATCATCAGACCTTTGTTCTAGGGCTGTTTTGCCATAACACATTACACATTTTTAAAAGACCGCAACAGCTTGTGATCCTTTAAACATCATAGGTGATTACAATATGGTTTGTTAAAAAATAATTTTTAAAGGGTAAAATTATGACTCACACAGATATAACATGAAAACAACAAAGATTTCATTTAAGTCATTAATTAATGAGAAAACCACTGATGCATAAAAAACTGGTTCGGAGAATACAAACAACAGACATATGTAAGCACAACCAGGAATGCTGAAATGGATTTTCTCACAGAGGGAAAATAGGCCATTTCTATAGGCTAATAATCCATTGCATTTTCACAAAGGAAAAGATCACCTGACTTTTAGGAACAGGGATCATGCACATTATGATCAGCACCTAACAGTTAACATCTAATTCCACAGAGTCGCCCAAATAATAAAAAGCAATGAAAGACTAAGTGTCCCGTGGAATCAGATAACCCTTCAAGGGACCTCTACACCAGGCCTAACAATCTACTCAAAGATGCCCAGTAACCTTTCTGTCCATAGCAAAGGCTCTTGCAATTTTTCATGACGAGTTTGAGTGGTATGTCTATGCACATAGTTTGATAATGATATTTCTGTGCTATTTGATCTACCATATTTTATCAGTTCTAACATATATATTTTCCCCGCATCACTGCCATTTTAATTAGTATTTTTTCTTGGCATGCATAAAATAATAATGCATCTTAGAACGGATGACATCTTAGATGTGATGAAATACAGTTATTTCACCAATTTATAAACACGAGAAAATGATTTGGGGGTGGGAAACTTCAGCTACATGTTCTGTGGGGAAAGACAAAGGCAAAACAAAAAAAGAGCCATTCTTATTATCACCTTTGATTTCTAAAGCACGTGTTTTATGGTTTTATGTAAAAAAAATCTGACAATATCTTTGATTAAATTCAAAGTAGGTCATTGATTATCAACAAATTAAGATACAAAAGACATTGTCCTTGAATAAGACAGCAAATATTGATATCACAGTTTCAGAGTGCTTTGTTTTAAGTCCTGGACTAGAAAAGCAATACTTAATTACAAAGACATCTAAATGTCTTGGCAATACCTCACACAGTTGTGGCACACGAGCTCACAAAATATTATAACCTATGTGGATACAGCTATTGTTGAGCCATGACAACTGATTCGAATCACTTGCTGAGTCATAATGGAGTGAGCCGTNTAGGAAAACTCCCTCCATATTCCAGTTAACACAGAGCACTGGCTTCTAACGACTACAACTTTAATCATTTATACTATAAAATGTAGCGTCTGTTACTGTACTGCATCTCTCAAATGGGCTCATGTAGTATCCTTAAAAAAACCCCCACAAAATTTCTTTCAAGATAAAGACCCTGTCTTTTATTTCTGGTGAATTTATAGCACATGGAAGGAACATATTAAGTGTCTAATAAATATCTGATTAATGGCTTAGAACAAAAGGAAACAGTATTGATAAAAAGAATATCAATATGCTTAGAAAAATATCAAAATTTGAGATGGGGGAGGGTCCAGTTGAACTAAAAGGGGCTGACGCCAAGAATTCTTTGTGTATTGGGTTGTCGGAAAAGTCATGACGTATTTTTTTCTATGTTTTTCATTGCAAAAATGCATCATGACTTTTCCTACAACCCAATAATGTCTGCTTAATTGCACATCAGGACAAAACCACACACAACCAATAATTATGAATATCCTGTCAATGGTATTCAAAATACACTCCGAGGTGTATGCGAATACAGAGCGTACATTTTATGTTTGTATGTAAAATGGGCATTATAGTACTGCCTCATTGGGTTATTTTAAGGGCTAAATGAGATTAAATTTATAAGGTGCCCAGGACAGGGCTTTAAACACTCATATCATACTCGCTGACTTACTTATCCGTCTCCCTCTATCAGGTCCCAAGCTTAATTTGAACACAAGGTTTCTTTCTACTCTTTTCTGCTTTTTATTTCATAAAAGCCTAGTCACTCTGTCCCAGTAATTTTTAAAGAAAAATAAATGTGATTACTCCTGATAATACTAATATGAAATATTAGCAGGAAGGGAGAAAAATAATTTTTTTTATTTGAACTTATGTTAAATCATGATAAGACTGTAAACTATCTTAAAGAGGAGAACTGTATCTCCATTTGCTATACAGAAGCTCTAGTTTTCAGTAAACTCTTTTTTTAAAGGGTCCCCTATTCTGAAATACTCCTTCTTTACAGGAGCACACCTCTCCAACTTTGTTCAATTTTAGAAACGTTCTAAGAACTCTTTCTGAGATCTCCTTCCTATCTGGTCAGCATATTCAAAATGCAGTTCTTAAAGTTAATTTTTGGGATTCTCAACATAACCTGAGCCTGGTACTACGGTAACACAAGGTTCTGTTTTTTTCTTTTCTTTTTGGTTCTCTTTTTTCAATGCAAACAAATACAGTAATTGAAATAAAATTCAATTCAGACTTTAAATCCACTGGACTTGTTTCTCAGATTTTCTCATATTGGTAAGGAGCTAATGGGAATTCCAGCCCTGCACTATGTATTTCTGCTTTCCTCCTGTGTTAACCACACCAACTTTCCTTCTATGAAAGGGCTGTATGCAGACTCTCCTATAATAGACAACCAGCTTCGCACAATTACCACCTGCAAAACATTCCCCTTACCTGACCCCTCCCTCTGTCAGGATGTCAATCCCCTGTGCACTTCTCTTTTCTCTTATCTCAGGAGCTGCAAGTCATTAGATCGGTGGTGGAGTGTGCAGGGTAAAGGTGAGGTAATTCGAGTAAAGAGAACTGCTGGAACAATCCTATCCATGATCACATCTAAATAAACTCCAGGAAGTCACTTCTGCTTGCTGAGGTGTAGTAGGGCTGATGTTCAGCCTGTTTAATGAAGTTGGGTGTCTAGTTTTGTTTTTCACTCCCATTCACGATGCTCATGGGATATTGTTAGTGTTGCTGAAAAAGCGGGAAGAACAAAAAACTTTGCATTTATTTATTTATTTCAAACCCCAGCATGACTATCAAACTTTATAAACCGGAGGAAATAATGAGAAAGTTCCAGTTAAAAAAAAAGGGACAGAAGTGAGGTGATTTTTCAATATCTGCTATGTTCTACTAATCCTCTGGGCACCCAAATTCTCCTAACAACCTTTGAGTGGCAGAGGTACTCAGACAGAGGCTAACCCAGTCCAGTCATTACTTTCCTCAGGATCACTTAGCCAGTAACTGGCAGATGTGGGATCTAAACCCACGTATGTCATGATGGTCAAGTCCACTTATTTTTACTCCATTGTCATGTTATTCTAGGCTTCTAACTTCAAAAGCCGGTCAGAACCATTTCATTCCTTTGCTTTTCCTCCCATGCTTGCATTTCGTTCCCTATATTCAATCTCCAAGGTAAGCTTTTGCAGGACCTTGTCCAAGGTTTATCATAAATAATAAAAATTTGAACAGTAAACGAATGAAGAAATGAATAACTACCTGCCTTGACCACATCCTCCTCTCTTCAACATTGGCCATTTGATTTACTTGTCCCCATTCATTTAATTGTTCTTTGCTAGAGACTGAATATAGGCAAGGTGCTGACAGGAATGTGTGGGACACTCATTTGTTTTCAAAGCACACTGGTTTTTCCAGAATTTCAGAAAGAATGGTTAAAGCAACATCAATGACTGGGCTAAGCTTAAGAAAATTCACACAGAAAAGTAGTTTTTAAAAGATTTGACTACTTTCAGTCAGGAACAAATAGGACAGTTTTGTTCCCTCCCCCATCCTATAAAATATGAATTAGAAGCAGTCGGATTAATATGCAGATGGTACAAGTTCCAAGACTCAGCACAGACATGACTGAATCCTTCATCCTCCCCGAGGCCTGCAGCCAGGCTGCCTGCCACTCTTGGGCTCCAAGCCACTGTTTTAAGTCTAGCCCCTTCTTGGAAGGTGAATATCCCAAGGAGAGATACCACACCTCATTCATTTTTATATCTCGAAAACTTTGCAAACATTGTACACAAAGTAGGAATGCAATAAATATTTATGAAAATGGGGGCATGATGCTAGCTGTTTGCATAGAACTACTCTCAACCTTCAATTCACATGCCTGCTACC